CAAATAATCTACTAGTGACTCATCACTGAAATCTATCATTTGCCCTTAGCTATTCCTCTTTCAAGCCTTTTTGTAAGCTGAGTATACAGAACATATTATTTCACACAATTTGCATATGCCTTAATCTTTGTGACTGTTCTCTCCCTCTGAACCTTCAAAACACATCAAAAGACATTTGGTTAACAATCATTACAATAAGCATGCTAAAATTAGTTTAATCCTTGTTCAGGCTATAATTATATTAATGCAACATAAACAGTTTTATACAAGTTTGTAACTATGAATGGATCCATCATTTGTTAAGTTCGGCTCAAAATGACTCCTCTGAATGAATAAATTACCTGGGATTAATATTATCAAAGTGAGAGCATTCATGTGCTCCATTGTTGATCCAAACATCACATTTCTTCACTTAGTAAACTATCACCTAATGACTCATTGGTAAACAGGTAACCTGACCTGTTGAAAACGAAACATGTAAAATGTCACCTTTCTAGCTATATAAAGATATACACATTCATATCTAGGTAGTCCACAACTGAGCCCAAACTTTCCATTGCTAAGTAAGACAGTTCAGTAAGTTTTGGCCCATTTTACAAACTGTCTTCTCACAATTTTAGGTGAACCATTGCAGTTGTTAAGTTAGTAACACAGTTGCTAAGTCAGTATGGCTTCCCCATTGACTTTGCTTGTCAGAAGATTGAAAAAAGGGATTACGTGATCCTGGGACAGTGCAACCCTCGTAGGTATACAGTATATTTGCTGCCAAGCATCTGATTTTTGATCCAGTGACCATGGGGATGCTGCAATGGTCGTAAGTGTAAAAAATGGTCATAAGTCACTTTTTTCAGTGCTCTTGTAACTTCAGTTACTAAACAAATAGTTGTAAGTCAAGGACTACCTATGAATGTGTGTGATATACTTCCAAAGAAAAACACATGACAAAGAGTAGACTATCTGTTGGGAGGATGGATTTGAAAATATTTTCTTCATCACTATTCACAGCCTTTTTTTTTCCAAATTCAGAAAAAAAATCAGAATCCAACAGTGATCACAAGGATCCCTAAGATTCACATGCCTCTCGCACAATTTTGCATTTCACCTCCCTTCTCTAGACAGACTTGTCAGACAAAAAACAAACAAACAAACAAACCCACAAAATAAAAATAGAGTTAATTAAACCACCACTGTCCTGCATTAACCAAACACATTTTAATGAATCCCCAAACACATTTTCCATTCACATTCTTAGATTAGTTCCTCCCCTTTTTTCTCTTTTGTGCCATAACAGGCATGTTTCTAAAGCACAAAAAAAAAAGGACTTGGCCTTTGATTAGTTGCCCTAAGTGCTATAATAATAATAATAATAAAATATTGCACATAACGAAAGACATTTAAATATTGCTGGATACTTCAAACTTCTTATAGCTATTGGAAGCTACTTGGCTGAATAATCTCTTAACTTGCCAGGTGGAAAGGTTGTGCATTAATTGTGTTAAACAATGAACTTTAAAAGGGCCACTTTAAAATTGCACAAGGTAGCTTAATCAGCTGGAGGAGTTCTTTTAGAGTGGAATTTAGAACCTCTGGATATTTTATTACTACTGTTCAACTGTGATTGGACGATAGTGACATTACTAGGTTTCTAATAGGAGGCTTCAGAGAAATTGCTTTTGTTGTCAGGACATTAAACAAGAGCCTATCTAGTGGATGAAACATGACATACAGCTTGCTCTTTGTGAATTACAACAATGTTCAAACCCTGTCCTTGTTTATTCAAAAATAAGTCAACAAAGTCATTTGAGCTTCTCAACAGGATGTATAGCAGTCAGCATCATTAACACTCAGAATGCTGCTGATTCTTTCATCAAGAATCAGCAGTAAGGACCTCACGTTTTGGTTGTAGAATTAAGAATAGGATATTATTTCCTGTATCTACTTTTTATTGTTATGATTGTTCCATTAAATGTGTGGATTACTCAGAAGCTTGCCTAATAAGTTCAATGGAAATTATGCCCAGGAAAATGTAGCTTAGTAGTTTTCCTTAGACATTATTTCACTGTATACCTGTAATATGTCTGACATAAGAAAATCTTAAAACTTGATAGATAGGAAGAGTGCTGAAGGGTTTTATGGCAGCAAAGGAATGGTAATTAAGGTAACAAGCTAACTGCTGCAATCCTCTGAACTTCGATTACATATATGTAGACACTGCCTTACTGACAGCCAAATACATTTTTATAGGTTTTTATAGAAATCTAATCACTAAAATTTAATTCCATGCAATTCATAAAAGATAAGGTATATCTTCCAAGTTTTGGGAGCCTTGAAACTATAGAAGGTCTTCTCAATTGAAATAGATATTCTCTCTCTCTCTCTCTCTCTCTCTCTCTCTCTCTCTCTCTCTCTCTCTCTCTCTCTCTCTCTCTCCTTTATTTCAAGATTTCTTTCCTTAAGAATTCAGTATAATCCAGTCTACCTTTCATTTCCAAGCATTAAGAAGAAAAAAATATTTTTTAAGCTGAAGCAAATGTTAAATGTTGAAAACAATTAGGACTTTCTTGTAGAAACACACCACAGCAAGAAGCTTCAACCAGTAACAGCAAATAATATCAATACAACAATTGCAGTAAGAGGTGTCATTTGAAGGGCTGATACAATTGCTAGACAGACAGTAAATGAATGGTACTTTAAAACAGATAATCTGCTTTTCCAAAGAACAGTCTGCAACCAGGGTAATTCTCATTGCAGTACCTCTATTTCACACTGCTGTTTGTATGCTCACTTTAATGAAAGTTTGTACTGATTGTCATTTGTTCTGTAGAAACCTACAGAACTCCAGAAATCTTGACAGATGGTGTTTTGAAGGATGTTGCCAGGTAGCTGGTGTGAATCCCACATTAGCAGTCTCTCTAGCTTTCAGAGGCAGCTCACCTTAGTCTCTTTTTAATATTCACATATGCTCACCTACAGCTACACTCAGGGGGCAAAAATAGTATTGTATTAATTTATTAAAGCTTGTAATTCATTCAGAGTGAAACTCCAGCCTTTAAGAGGAAAGTCACATGCCAACTTATTTTCATGGTCGTCCTATTATTTCTATTTTTGAATTACTTGTATATTTTAATTCCTTTACATTTTTCAGCCCCCCTGCCCCTCCCCTCTTTTCTTCACTTCTCTTGAGATTCACATTGTGTCTCAGTAGATACTTCCCCCTGCTGGGAAAGGTTCAAATTACATCTACAAAGTATTGGAGGGAAACAAACACATTTTATTGATTGCAGGGATTTAAAAGAAAAACCCTCTATAAAGGCGCACTTTGGCAAATGTGATTTCTATAGATGTATAATTTAAGAAGACCTGAAGATTTGTGAGCTAAAATAATGTGCTCAATGACAGCCAAATTATATCTTTAAGGTAAAGGAATTGTAAAAAAAAAATCAAGATCAACTAAAACATATATTTGCTTGTTCATATATGAACGTGTTTCTTTAAAAAAGTGAGTAGTTATTTACATTTGGCCATCTAATCATAGTTTCCTGATGACCAACTGACCAATATCATCGGTGACTGTCTGAATTCCTTTCCAATAATAGCCACTCAGAGTTGCCTCAAACGATGAGTGGCAAATAAATTTCATAATAATATCAGGACACTGTTTCAAAAACAGAAGAAATATTCATTCTTAGTATACAAGGAAAGAAGATAAGTTGATTATGCAAACATAGAACTCATGCTTTAGGCAAAAAGTTCAAAGAAGATTTTTTTAAATATTGGTTCTGTATCTCAAATTTCAAAATAAAACTATGCCATTATACAGAATTATAATTAGCAACTATCCAGTGAAATTATTCAGCGATTATTTCTGAAATGGATCTCCATTTTATAATTCCATAAAGATACAGTGAAGCTAAGAATGTAATTCAAAGTTAACAAATCCGAACAGCAGTAAAGTAAAATGAAAGTTTTGCAAAATTATAAACTCAGTAATAACCTGTCTTTTCCTGTATAAAACTGACCATGGCAATGAGTTTTGTTTTGTTTTTAAACCATGATATTGATCTTTAATAAGGTTGTTGCCTCTGTCTTTGTGTAAATATATTTCTGTGGAAACTTCACCTGTCACTCAGGTCTGACCCTGACTCTAGTAGTTTCTTTAATAAAGAGGGAAAATCCATTACTAATATGAAATGATTAAATAAATCCATAGGGGAAAACAAAGTAATTATTATGGTTGCCATCCTGACTATTCTTTAATAAGTTGCAATATCATGTTCTGAAATGCAAAGCTTTAATTCATAACCCAGCAGGCTATATTTGAAAGTCGATCCAAAATCTGCAAAATACAACTGCAAGGCAACGTTCATTGACAGCTATGCCTCTTGTTATCAGCACAGCTACATTTCACAAGATGCCTAATTGTTGCTGATCAATCTACAAAAAGGAACCAGGTCTCTTCCAGGACTCTGCTATGGACACTAAATTCCCGGCTTATTGTACAGTGTTTTCTCCGGAAATCTGTCGGCAGCTCCGCTTAGCCTTGTATTTGACAAAATGCTGCCAAAATCCAGCATCCCTCCTTGCTCAGATTTCTATTCTGGTGACCTTAGTGCCAGAACTAAAGCAGTGCGCTGATGCCACATAAAAGGCACAACTCTCTTCCCTCCTGCACTTTCTGACTTGCTGGTGCCCTGCAATTTCTAAAGCAATCAGTCCTTCCGTTTCAGCCGACTCTGCCTCTGCAACCTCTGCCAGTGCGTAGATCCGAAAGAATGCCAGAGAGAGCTTCGCGTTCCTTGGCTTGCTCGCGCTCTCCTTCTCTCTTCCTAACGGGGACAGAGCTGCCTGTTTCTATGCCCTTAACCCACCTCGGGGTAGCCCACACCGAATCGCAGAAACGCAGCAGCGGTGACAACAGGGAACATCGGCAGAGGGGATGGCAACGAGCAATCCGCCAACAAAAATCCGCCAGACTCGAAGAGAGGAAAGCCAAGACTTACCTTCCGCCAAAAGGCGCATTGCATGAACAAAGGACAGGTCTAAGCTATCCTTCTCAGCCATCAGCTCGGGTAAATATTTCTCTTGCTCCATGCTGGGTTCGCCTACACTTTGAACCGGCTGCCCGCCCAAGGTAGTGCAGGAAAAGGCAACTCGCTCACTAGAGGCTTTGTTGGCTTCGATTCGCCTCTTGCCTTTCTCTGCTTGGACTTGGGACGGCTCACTTCCCCATGTGCGTGGTGGCGGTCGCGGGTGCGCCCCTGCTTCAGGACCTTGGACAGCGCGCCCACCAACGCCCCTCCGCCGCCTCCCTCTCCGCTCGCTCCTTCGAAAAGCGCGTGTGTTGGTTCGCCCGTCTGGGTGCGCTCCCCCCCTCCCGCCCCGCACTGAGCTACGGTCTCATACAGTACCAGAAGCCTTAACAAGGGAGGTGGGATGACCAAGTCTTCCTCCCGCCTCCGTCGTCTTCTCATTGGTGAAGGCGCGGGGGAAGGCGGTGAGAGACGGGACGAAACGACCGCGGGATTGGCTCTGCTCCCGCCCAGTCTTCTGACAGGCGTCTGAAAAGCCGCGGGCGCGGCGAGATCTGTGACAGATGAGCGAAGGGGGCGGGACAAGGCAATCCACTTGCTGTCCAACGTACTGAAGTAGCGAGAAGGACGGAGCAACCTCGAGCCAACATTTGAAAGGACTGCGGATCGAAGCCGGAGCTGACATCCGGAAAGCTTCCCTTTTAATCCGACTATCTTCGTTTGGATAACTCAGTTCTCGGCTAGATTAATTTAAAAAAAAAAGTCTCTGAATGTTTGGCTTGTATTCGGGTTTCATTGGTTGCAAACCATCCATATACCATGACTATATGATGTGGCTTGATAAACAGAAACAATCGTCATCTTTGGAGCCCTTTATTGTTCATATTTACTTGTTTACTTGGCACGGAACAAGTCTCCCTCCTTCATCCGTTCTTTTGTTATGACTATAAAAGGGGGAGAACTGCTTATAAAGAATTAAACTCCCTCAAAAGTGGCTAGGGGATCGTTACTGTTCTAATAAATCAATGGGTTGAGTATCTCTTTAGTGTCTTAGCACCACTGGCTCTTGCTCAAGTGAGTTTTTGTTTCTTTCTTTCTATCTATCTATCTATCTATCTATCTATCTATCTATCTATCTATCTATCTATCTATCTATCTATCTATCTATCTCAGTCTGAACATATTGCCATTAATGGAAGTTGTGCAACAAAAATGGAAGTAATGGAAGAGAGGAAACTCTTTATAGATCTTTATTCATCTGATCCCGTTTAATAAAGACCAGCACTTGGGTGTCGTGGTCACTTCCCTATAACTCATACTGATGTGCTTCTATGCATTGTCAGGACTGTCCAGCTAGCAAGTACTATCTTTAATCCAACTATGCCTCTTTAATATATCAGATTTCTTTTCAAGTCTCAGTCCCCTACTTCTCCCACCACAAACTAAAACCAGAATATATGGCTAGGAACAGAATAGAAAAATATGTTTTTTGCTTAAAAAGTACTAAATTAAAAATAATACTTGCTATTTTTATTAGAACCATATACAGGTTGTGTGGTTTTGTGTGGGTTGTTTTATATACATTTTTCTCTACATATTTTTAACAAAGTATTTCTAGCTACTTTGAGGGTATTTTCTTTTTTCATTCCCACCTTTTCTGAAAGAGATATTAACTATTCCTATTCAGCATGGTTTATATTTTCTTTTCCATTTTTCTTTAGTCTCCAGGTAGGATCAGAAACATCAACTCCACCTATTTTTACAGTCAGAAAACTAAGTTTGGGACACAAAGATTTGCTCAAACGTAGATTATCAGCTGCAATGTAATGCACCACTGAACTTTTGAGTATCATTTTTAACAGCTATTGATGTAGCAGAAGTGTTTGATTGCATTATCATACCATTCAAGGCTAAAGATTCACAATAATTTTACATCAAAAATGTGTATAAGCTGTGCAAAAGGTATATTAATGCCTATACGATATGTATTTATGTATTGTATATATATTTCCATCCAATCAATATAAGACATCGGGTGGGAATTTTAATCCTTTAATCTGGGTTGTAGATTGGTTTTAATTAATTAATTTCAATGTTTTATTGATATTTTGTTTAATTTGTGTGTATTTTATACTTTATTGCTTTATCTATTCCCTTGTATTGTACTTGTGTGGTTTTTTATCTATTTAGAGCATCATCTCATGGACAGGACCAATATAATATTGCCAGATAAACACACCCACACAAACAACTTTTTTTGTCATAAATATGATCATTAATCTCCAGAGATATGTATATCTCTGATGCAAAAGCTAAGAACTTAGTACAAATTAAATTACAAATTGAAAACTGCATACCAGATCTTGGTATAGTGGTATATGTTATGCTGTTGAATAAATTCTCATGGGATGATTAGAAACCACTGGGATTGGTGGCAAATCAATGGATCGATCGATCGATCGATCAATCAATCAATCAATGCATTCTCTGTCATGAAAAGAGAAAACATATGCTAAAGGACAGCTTTGAGTGGTCAGAAAAGAAGTGTGAAAAGGAATCAATTAAAGTTTTTTTTAACCTATCATATTAACTGAGGATTTTAATGATTATCTCATTTGCAATTAAAAAAGCTCAGGTTTAATACCATTCTGCTGCAAAACATAATTGCAATAACTAAAGCTATATGTATGCTTTCATTGATTCAGGCACTTCATGATTAAACTATGGAGCCCACAGGTGGTCCTGGAATCCAGCAGAAAATGTACTCAAAATACCAGAAAGAAATATTTTCGCAGGACCTGAAAATTAGAAACAGAAGTTCATTCACCTCCTGGATACAAGGAAATGTCATGTCAGTCTTTTAAAGAACATTTGTTATTTTTTTAGGAATTTTCTTCCAATCTCATGATAAATACATTTTCAGTATTAAATTTGTTAATAATCATTTGTCCCATAAGTACTCAGAACAGTTATGCCCTGGGGTATGTTCAGCACTACAATTCTATTGCTGTAAAAGTATTGCAATTATTAGTACAATACATAGTTCTTAAATTAGAAAAAGGTATTAGCAATATGTAAGTTACTCTAGATCTAATTCTAAATTGGTTCTTTTTTTGCGGTTTTTTGGCTGCTTATGAAAAGCACATCTTTTTCACAAATACATTTAAATGTTGTTTGCTGACAGTAAATAATTTTCTGAACATAGAAAGCAAACGTTTAAACATTTTTAAGCTGCCAGGATCCAAAATCTGAATATAGCTGAGTTCTAAGGAGTTTCTTATATGTAAACCACTAGAGACGGGAATAAATTGAGATTTTAAAAGTACATATGTAAACAGTACCAACATTATTAAGAGTTCTGATTTAGAGAGTTAATTGACTGTATGCATGAAATAATAAGACACTAACAGAAAAAAGGAAAAAATAATAGGATTCTTGCTGCTAATAAAAGACAAAAAAAGCCAAGGAAATGAACATATTAAAAGTGTAAGGAAAATAGTAAAAAATATAATTATTAAATGTATTAATTGACAAAGTGCCTTGGTGGCTGTGTATTCTTAATTTGGCTCTCAAAGGGGCTTTTTCAAAAGGCAAGTGGACTGTTATTTTTTTCCTTGAGGAAGACATTTCGCTTCTCATCAAGAGGCTTCATCAATGAAGCTTCTTTGATGAGAAGTGAAAATCTTCTGCAAAGAAAAAAACAGTTTGAGACAAGTATGACTTGAATGAATGAGAATCGCCATAGACATTTATTTTGGATGGTTTTTTTATTATTTTTTATTGTTTTAAAAATGTTTTATTGTTTTATACTTTTGAAATTGTAAGCCATCCAGAGTCATTGCTTGAAGTGGGTGGCTATAGGGAAGGGAGGGAGGGAGGGAGGAAAGAAGGAAGGAAGGAAGGAAGGAAGGAAGGAAGGAAGGAAAGACTGTAATGGTTATTTATAAGTAAAGCGACTATGCTCTAAGACAGATGCCAATAATGTTTGTCTATGAAGGAAGGCCCAGTTAAATGAAAATGTCCTTAACCATCTTCTACAGATCCTAAAGGAGGAGTTTAATGGACTTCGGGGAGCATTATGCTATCTGAAGTCTGATTACAAGTGTTGCATAGAAAGTCCAATGATTTAGATGAGGGGTCACTACTGGGCCGTGGCCCATTCGGAATTGGCAGGCGAGCATGTGTGTGCATGCAGCTCCATTAGCGTGAGCTGCAGACACTCACCCTAACATGCTAAGCTTTATTTGTGCAAGCAGCAGGCACCTGCCCCTCACACAGAACCATCTCCTCTCCCTCACCCACCGGTCCACCAAGCTGGAAAGGTTGGGAACCGCTGATTTAGATTACATTAAAATCCATTGTGGTATTTGCAGGTGTGCGCAGGAGCACGTTTGAGGTTTGTGTTCAGGACACTTTGTTCAGGTATTTGTAACATGGACTCTGGCATGGAATTTATGCAATATTTTGTCACAGTATGCTTCACGTTAAAATATATTGTTTTTAATGCACCATTTTAATGCACAGCTCTCTTTCAAATTTCCAAAAAAACAAAACAAAAAACCTCCAAAACTTGCTGGTTTTTTGCTTCCTCATTCTCATGAAGATACATAATATCCGTAGTATTCTGGAGCTTTCTTTAGTGTTGAAAGATGGCAAAGGTGACCTTATTATCATTATCATTATACATTTCTGAAGCACTCAGACTACCCATGCATCTTGATTTGAAAAAGCCTAATGAGAGGAGTTCCCTAATGATGTCTTCCATTGGTATTTAATTGAAGTGTGGGAAGCCAGAGAGAACAGAGCCCTAGGAAAATATAATGGAACAGCTCAGTTGCTGATTCTGGATAATCATAGAAGTTAAGCAGGAATAGTCCTTGAAGTATTCTATGGAGGACCACTTGGGAATTCCAGAACTGATGGCTAACTGGAGCAGTAAGAAGATGCTGGGGAAAACTTACTGTGTGGTAAATCATTTCAGTAAGGCATGGGTGAAGTCAACAGGAGTCAGTCTTGACCCAAGGAAGCCTTTTGTTGTTGTTGTTGTTAGTTGCGAAGTCA